GAACCCCCTCTCTGACTATGGAAACGTCGCCATTCTGTGTTTTGTACTTCATTTCCGTTGGTGCCGGACGGCCGCCGTTACTAGAGACCTCGCCCTCCTCTGGTGAGCCGTCGTTTGCACCTTGGGTTTTCGCTGGTGGCTTAGCAGCCGGTTGATGCGGACTAGCATCCGTCGAAGACTTGGTTTCTCCAATTGCGGTCTTTGTCGTGCCAGCAAGTAGCAAACTTTTGGCAGCTTGCTTTGCTGCCTTCTTCTTCGCCTGTCGCAGGCGACTATTATGAGTATCAAGGTAATAGATAAAGGCGTCCGTCGCCACTGTAGGCGTGATTGCAGAGGCGTTGTGCGGGTTGTGCTTGCAGAGTACCTGAGCCCAGTCCTTGAACCTGGCAGTCCATGAACCCTGCTTCTTTCGAGATAATGCAGGCAGGTCGAGTGATAGTGAACCTACCGTGTAGGTAGGAGGTTCACGGGGCATATGAGCTCGAGTGACGGGTTCCAAATCGTCAACCTCGGCCTGGTCGGTTGTGTGACCTGATGTCGAAAGCCCGTTTGTTGCCGGAGGAGAAGTGGCTGCCGTAGAGTGAGCAGGGGGGGCTGTCGCCTCGGCTGCGCTGACAAGCATATATTCTTTGCCCTTCTCCAACGCAGCGCGAGGATTGGCTTCAGATTCGGACTCATCAACTTCGCATTCCTCTGAGGCTTGGTGGGTGTGATTTGAAGGTGATGTGCTCAGTTTGGCCCGCTTTGGATGGCGCGAGGGCACATGTTCATGGACGGTAGCAGCTGGCGGGAAGCCGTGAGCCTCGCCCTCGTCGGCCTCATTGCGTGGCCGCTTCTGGCCGGCTGTTGACAGTTGGCTATCCATGCCTTGCGGTGCTGGCTGCGAAATTGGCTCCTGGTCAATCTCGGGCTCGTAGTTGCTCTCGTCGTCACTATCCCCGAGGCGGATGACGTCGCCTGGCGTCTCATTCCCGTTTTTGGCGCTCATGTCGAAGCCAGCCCTGCGCCAACGGCCAGTAAGATCAAACGACGATACTGCCTGTCCTCCCAAGTTTATTCAGTCCATGAGATGATGATGATATTTCTCGTGGCAGTTCCCGGGGGTGCGGCTGCACAGAATGCTCTCTCCCTTGGTTAACTCTCGGTCGCAATCCGACACTGTCACACACGCAACGCACGGCTCGGTTTGGATGCGCACTCTTTTACCGTCTGGAAGTCAATGAAGCATACAACCGTCGCAAAACTTTTCAGCAGCCTTGCTGAATACGACGTATACTCGACCAAAAAATCGTTCATCGGCGCACCAGAATGAGGTATGCCGAAAGTGTCAATCTTATTCCTCCTTCCCTGGGGAAGAAAAAAATTACGGGAAAGCGGACGAATCATATCGCGTCCCCGAGTCGTTGAATTGTATGATTGACGGGCAGGAGACTCCAGCGTCCGAAGATTAACCCGGAACCATGGGCTTGAGCCGTGAATTGCTGGTGCTACCCTATACCCATCTATACCAGGCTGGAACCCTGTGCAGGCTCGTGTAGAGCAACAGGATGTGTGAATTTGTCCATGTACCGTAATGTGTTGTCGACCTTTCTCATACCCATTTCCTTTTCCTCGTCGAAATAGGGTAGGGGCCTCAAGTCACGACATGTTGAATGTTTTCTCAACAAATTGGGCCGCTGTCGGCGCGTCTAGGCCCCACATATTGTGGCTGTAATGCTCGTCATGTATAGTAACTACTCCGTACGAGCAACAGGAAACAACACTAGGAGACGGCCAACAGGTCATCGAGTCTGGCAAGGCAACGACATCGATAACGAGAATAGCAATTAAAGATGGCATTGTTGTGCTTGTCCGAATAAAAGTCAATATCATGTTCTGCTAGGCGGCGACGGCGCCCGCCGGCGTGTTGTCGACTGCGACTAGCCGTCAGAAGGCCACAGGTATGATGGGGATTATTTCCTGGCCGGGTCCAACTAGATGCCAACTTGGCCTGAGGCGTGCGGCGTGCGGCGCCACGCACGCGCTAGTATTGACATGTGGTGCGCGCCTGCACGTCGTCGGGTGTGCATTGCCGTCCGGTGTCGACATGGACGTGTGCGCCCGCTGGCCCGCCAAATTTTTGGAGGCCGTGAATGCTGCAGTGCCCTAAACGGATACGACATTCTAATAAGATCGGTTGATATTGAAGACGTAATGGAAGCGTTGCATGTTCCATGCCCGCGACAGGGGTCAAAAAGCCAAATCTTGGGTCTTGGTCTTGGTCGTGGTCCTGGCCGCGTGCTTGAGTCGGCAAGGCTTGGGGACCAGCTCCTTGCAATGCCACGCTGGCCCGGCCAGGGCCATCAATTTCTCGACGGAGGAGACACAAGGAAGATGCGCGGAAACCGCCGTCCTTGAAGGGCGGCTGGTGGTCTGGTGGTGGGCACGAAGATGACATCTGGACTGTAAAGACATTATGCGACCAAGTTGAGTCGAGTCCATGTCCGGTTGACCTCATCTGCTCAGCTCTAGAACCACCAACTGGCCACTCACAGCAGCCGTGTCAGCAGGTCGGACCCAGTGCCGGCCGGGGCCTGTGCTGGGGGTGCTGGGGGCGCACTCACCTGAGCACCAGACCAGTGACTCCAGATGTCCAGATGTCTGGTCCCATCCGCCATGTCCGCCGGGTGTTTGCCCGCCCGCTGCCTGCCTCCTTGCCTCCTTGCCTGCGTGCCTGGCTCCTGCCTGCTGCCCGCACGCTCCATGTCCAGTCCAGTCTGGCTCTGGCGCTTTCCTTGTCGAGTCGACACTTCCACTTCCAGTCCCACCTTCGGACCCCAGCTTCAGTCTTCGGACATTCTCCCATCACCAGTCTATCCGGCCATTTCTCATCGTCGACTTCTGCCATCTGTGCGCGCTGCTATCGCCACCCAGCCATCCGTCTCCTTGCCATCGTCTTCTGTACTATCGCTCACTGTATTCATACATTGGCCACTGGCTGTGCCTTTTTTTCTCCCGCCTCGTCACGACCTTTGCCCCCCCCAATGTCCATTGTCGTGTTCGACTCTCCGCATTCGCCGCTTCTCCCTTTGGGCATCGCAAACCACCATCTGCCCCAAGACAACTAGCCTTGTGGCTGTCCTGTACCTGCCAACTCAATATCGAGTAAAATCCTTGCCGTTATTCCTCTCCAACGCGCAGCTTGGTACAGCCGCTCCTGAACCGGTGCCGCGAGAGACTTGCATCACCGCCTCGCAACTTGCCGCTCTCTGATCCACGACTCGGGTCTCCTGTCCTCTCCCCCTACTCGTACCCGACAATACCGCCAAGCTGTCTTCCCCAATTCTTCTCCAGCGCACCGTTTCCTACGACGCGGGCACAAAACCTCCGCGTCGTGGAAGCATATATCTAGACATGGCCGACCGAAATAGTTCAGCCCGTAGGAGAAGGTCGAGCAGCATTCTGCAAGTCTATCATGAGCCTCCAGAGACGCTCGAGCAAATCAGTGACCAAGCTGTGCTGCCCAACCTCAACGCCAATTGGACAAGTGCAAAAGGTATGAATGAACCGACACGAAGCGAGGAACTAAGCTTGACAACGCCACAACTGCCCCTACATGGCAAGACATCCAAATATGCTTTCCTCTTGTCTTGCCGGTGCTCTTGACCGGCCACGCGTGGCAGGGTGTGGACGACGCTAACGCACTCGAATTTGCATTCTAGGAGCCTGGACCATCCACATTGTTCTCATCGCCGCCCTTAAGATTCTCTACGACATTATCCCCGGTGTCTCCCAGGAGACATCGTGGACGCTCACCAACATGACGTACATGTTTGGCTCGTATATCATGTTCCATTACGTCCGCGGTGTCCCCTTCGAATTTAATAGCGGCGCCTTTGACAACCTAAACATGTGGGAACAAATCGACAATGGCGCCCAATACACCCCGACCAAGAAGTTTCTGCTCAGTGTCCCCATTGTGCTGTTCTTACTCAGCACACATTACACCCACTATGACCTTGCATACTTCATCATTAATTTCTTGGCTGTATTAGCCGTCGTCATTCCTAAGCTGCCTTTTGTAGGTCGCCGCGTATATCTGATATCAATCCTGCTGCCATTGGCCAAATCACTAACTTTTTATAAACTTTTAGAGTCACCGGATGCGATTTGGCCTGTTCTCAGGACCCCCCGAGGAGGATTAGTACTACGGGTCCGGTATGGCAGCGCGTGAAGTGACGTTTAGTTCATGTAATTGATTTTTTGGTCTCTATCTAGGGGGGCGGCGGGGCGGCAGGTCAAAAGGTACTACTACAACTGCTATCAAGGGGAAGACAGTACGCAAAAGGGTAGAGTTTGCGGCGAAAGAAGCACATACACAACAGCGAGCATTTTCCGGGGCCACGAAAGGGCTTTTGTCGTTGGCCGTGGCTTTCGAAGGGATGGGATTGGATCTTGACACTGCAGCGTTCTCTATTGCTCCTTTATCATTAAAACGCCACCGGCGAGTTAAATACGTCTCATATTCCCACACGTATACCTCTCCCCCTGAATATTTCTTTGTGGCACCTGATATAACGTGACATATAGTCCAGGGACCAAATGCCCGTCAAAACATCTTAAACATCCTAAAGTCCGAATGAGGAAAAAGGGGGGACCAAGTTGAGAAAACGGCTGCTCACTCAACCACCACCGTCTACACCGATGAATCTTCGACTGAACACTAAGTGATAACCAGCCCCTTCACCGCGACTCATGACATACTGCTTGTCAAACCAGGCACCTTTCTCATAAACTTTATTTTCCTGGATGAAGATGTTGGTATGCTTGATGGCGAACAATCACCCAATCCACGATCAGCCACCCGCCTTCTATTTCCCAAGTGCTTCTATAAGAAGCCGCTTTGCTCTCCTCATTTTCATTTACTTTTCCTGTCTTTTCTTCGCACGCCCTTTGAGGTCCGAGTTATTTATTTTATTCTACTCTTCTTTGGTGCTTGACTCTACATAACGTGTTTCAACATGAGGGTGGTTGCCATTCTCGCCGTCACGGCTTTCCTCAACGGCCATGCCCAGGCGCAGGACGTCCCAACTCATAGGTATAATAACAGTGGCATTGGTCCACCTCGAGACGCACGCCAGAAGTTCAATGACACTGGCTTTGTTCTGCCCCGAGGCGAAGGCCAGAAGGTGAATAGCACTGGCTCTGTCCTGCCCCGAGGCGAATGCCAGAAGGTGAATGGCACTGGCTCTGTCCTGCCCCGAGGCGAAGGCCAGAAGTCGAATGGCACTGGGTATATCCAGCCCCGAGGCGAGGGCCAGAAGTCAAATGACACTGGCTTTGTTCTGCCCCGAGGCGAAGGCCAGAAGTCGAATGGCACTGGCACTGTCCTGCCCCGAGGCGAAGGCCAGAAGTCGAATGGCACTGGGTATATCCAGCCCCGAGGCGAAGGCCAGAAGTCAAATGACACTGGGTATATCCAGCCCCGAGGCGAAGGCCAGAAGTCGAATGACACTGGCACTGTCCTGCCCCGAGGCGAAGGCCAGAAGGTGAATAGCACTGGCACTGTCCTGCCCCGAGGCGAAGGCCAGAAGTTGAATAATACTGGGTATGTCCAGCCCCGGACGTTAGGCGTCTGCTATTGTCCTCGGTGTCTTCACAATACCAGAATTTGCACTTGCAAGGAACCTCCCCTTCCCGAGTGCGTGCTGAGAGCGTTTCTCACCAGGACAACTATGACTTGGAAGACGGCCACAAATAGAGGTGTCAAGACACGAAGTAACACTGGCCAGCCTAGTGATACCTTCAGGGTCTCTGGCACTTGGAGGCCAACTAACATTTATACCAATAGGCGTCTGTTTATTGATGATGAGATTCTCACTCCGACTAGGTCATCTCACATTAGGAAGCCTACTGCTACTGGCACGCCTACCGAGACGGGCAAGGCAAATAAATCGGGGAAGCCTACTGTGACTGACAAGCCAACTCTTCCCTGGCCAAGTTTTTCTTGGACAACCATTCCCGGGAAGCCAACACACGCCCGCAGGGCTAATGATGATGGCAAGCCAACTCTTCCTTGGTTAAGTCTTTCCTGGCCAGTCTGGCCAACGCAAAGCGAGGAGCCAATTAGCACTGGAAAACCGGCCTATACTCATAATAGGCCGTCTCAGACCGAGGAGCCATCTCACACCAAAAAGCCGGCCTATACTCATAGGCCGACTCTGAGCGAGGAGCCATCTCACACCTGGGAACCTACCGAGACTGACGGGCCAACTCACACTGAGCTTCCGACACACACTTGGAGGCCGGGCCATCCTCATAAGCCGACTCACACCGAGGAGCCTACTGATACTGACATGCCTACCCACAACACCGAGGAGCCAACTCACACCGGGAGGCCGCCCTATACTCATAAGCCGACGCACAACACCGAGGAGCCAAGTCACACGGTGAAGCCGCCCTATACTCATAAGCCGACGCACAACACCGAGGAGCCAAGTCACACCGTGGAGCCTACTGATACTGACAAGCCTACCCACAACACCGAGGGGCCAAGTCACACCGGGAAGCCGCCCTATACTCATAAGCCGCCCTATACTCATAAGCCGACGCACAACACCGAGGAGCCAAGTCACACCGTGGAGCCTACTGATACTGACAAGCCTACCTCTCCTGGTAAGCCAACTGGTACCGGCAAGCCAACTGGTACCGGCAGGCCAACTGGTACCGGCAAGCCAACTCGTCCTGGCAAGCCTGGCAAGCCAACTAAGACAACTAAGCCTGGCAAGCCAACTAAGCCAACTAGCCCTGGCAAGCCAACTAGTCCCGGCAAGCCAACTTACACAGGCGAGCCAACTTACACAGGCGGGCCAACTTACACAGGCGGGCCGAGCGGCACTGACAAGCCAATTTACTCCAAGCCTGCTTATACCACGGTTCCCATCAAAAATACGCATAGTAAAAGGGACCTTGAGGAGCCCGAGTGCGCTCATGACCCCCATTGCACGGGGGATAGTCAATCTGATTGCCCAAAGCCCACTCTTTGCGAAAGGGAGCCTCACCACCCATTCTGCACCGAGACACCTCCCCATACCCATGGTGGTAAAGTATGTGATAAACCTCATGGCGAGGCTCAGCATGCCGACGACGGCACGCCATGCGATGGACATGGCCATGAGGGCCATACTTGCACCAAAGGCTGCCACAAGCCTATGCAGGCTCACAACGGAACTGACGAGCTTGCACCCTCTGGGAGCATGATCGGTGGAGATGGCAGCATGCCGGTTGGTACTTATGTACCCATCAGTGCTGGTGAGACTACTGCCGTCTCCGACTTGGCCCTGGGCATTGTTGCTCTGGCTGGCTTCCTTCTTTTCTAAGAAGAAGGCAGGGCTCCATGGATATCTTGCAACGCTTTTTGTTCCTTGATAGGAACACCCAACTAATTGAGGGCGGGACTAATCCGACAAGATGGATTGGTTGGGGAGTTGTGACATGTCTTTCGAGAGCTTTTTATTACATCTACCGGGAATTTGTTTTGTTTTTAACGCTCTGCTCGAAGTTTTGTGCTACTGAAAAAAAAAAGAAAAATCGCTGGGTTGGAGAAACGAGGCCAAAAAAAAAAAAAGTTAGGAATGGGGATGATATTGTTATTATTGTTTCGTGGTAATCTGAACATTTGGGCTTGTCAGGAGGAGAGTAATGCTTAATGGGAGTGTGGTGTGTGCGGGCTCTAGGTGGAAGATGTTCTCCAGATTGTAGTTTTTTTTTTAAAGGTGACGTATGATAAACGTGTACGCGCGAGTTAAAGAATAATAATACCCGGCTAGTTCATAAACGTCCTCTTGTGAGTCTTCTTCCCTCCCCAAAGGAAAGGGGGGAAAACAATGATGCCTGTGTGTTGTTCAACTTTGAACTTGGTACGGTGAGACCAACGCTAGCCACAACCACGTGTTGTAGTTTGAAGACAAGCACCGCCGTCAAACGAAGTCAAAATCGGTCATTTCCAGTTTTACCCAACCTTCCCCCGCCTTCCTTGCCCCTCATGTTCACAACGCCACATGAAACCTTTTCGTAAGCCTAGAGCCAGAAAACAGACCAAGTGTGTCAACTTTACAGACTCATTCGTGTTGATTGCGATATAGATCCGCGTCGATTGCTGGCGGCGCGTCATGCGTAAACACGACTATCTCCGAGAGGCGAAGACGCGGCTGCTATGACGGATTTCGGAGGACGGCTGACGACTGGCGGATGACGGGGAGTTGAAGTTGGAGTTGGAGTTGGAGTTGGTGTTGAGGAAAGCGGAGTCTGGGAGTTGCCTCTTTGGGAAGCGGCCGGCGAGGACTCTGGGGTTCGAGAGCAGCGAATGAGCATCATCATCGCCAACAACCTCTTTTCTGTAAAGATTACTTGGTGCAGCGTCAGACGGCGTGGCCCCATTCTATGTTTGAAAGAAGAGAAGCCCGAGAATTAGACCCTTGCCTGACTTTGTTTCCCGAGAATGAGAGAGACGGGAGGGCGCGGCGGTATGGTTGAGTCGGTTCCGCCAAATGGACTGTTGTGCTCCGAGCATCGAGCACAGGCATCTTTGATGTTGGAAATTCCCGACTGCGCAATTCGAGGGACTGTTGCTGCGAGTCGTTCAGCTGATGGGCGCTATTGTCATGGAAAAACAGAATGCTTCCTAACGTTGATGGTTGTGTGTATGGCTGACTTTGGAAGTAGACTCGACGGCTCTCGATTCAATATTCCACCAGACGTCCTCCGCCTCACATACACGCAACATGCCAGACAGACAGCCACGCAAAGTCCCGTCCCGGTAGCCCCGGCCGACGGACCCTCCTTCCCAATCATCACCAAATGTGGAGATGTCCGAAGCGCCATGCAATTGCCGCTAGTTTCCTTGACCGCAATCCCAAAGCCATCCCGACAATCCGTATAGGCTCGGAATCCGAGAGACACGTTTCAACAGAGACGAGCTGTCAACGGTCAAATAAAGGTGGACCGAACCATCTGATAAATATCGAGACGATCCATTCCACTCCAACCAGTGCTTTTTCTCAATTCAATTGCCGCTTGACAACCACCACCATCCATCCTCACCACCCTGCCACGCGCTCTGATTAGCTACATAACTAGTTGTGTATCACAGGAACTAGCCGAGAAACCATGAAGGGTGGTTACACTAGACTCTTTGACGACCAAGCGTCCGGCGACAAGGTCAGCGAATATGCCGACGCCCACTCAACCCCGTTGCCGGCGCACATCACGGCCTACCATGCGCACGCCTCTGCGAGCAGGCACGACTCGGAAATGCTGAGCTCGAATTTCCAGAGCAAGCTGCATTTATTCCTGGCCAGGTCCATCGGCGCCAAGACGGGTGAGTCTGTTTCCCATTCGTCTACTCTTGTTCCTGTTAGAAACCATGGCAAAAGCTGCAACCCGGGGAAGATCCGAGACCCCGGCGCCTCCCACCACTTTGTGCACGCACCGTCTATATACATGTATCCCAGACCCTGCCCGTTTCGGAACAAACTAATGCGGATGGTTTTTCGAAAAATAGTTCTCGAAGTCGGTGTCTACGTCGGCTACTCGGCCATGCTCTGGGCCCACGCCACGGGGCCAGACGGCCTCGTCACCGGCCTCGAATATAGCCCCGAGTTGGCAGAGATTGCCCAAGACGCCCTGGCAAAGGAAGGCATCAATAATGTCGAGATCATCGTAGGCAATGCCGCTGAGACGTGCGTGATCCCTTCCCCCCACCCTTTGGAGCGCGTGGTTTGTGAATCCCGGGGCTCGTTTGTGTGATACCAAAACCCTCCTGGGGGCACTTGGATCTGAATATGCTGTGATACCATCGGCACATTCCCGTTCGGTGGCTTGAGGTTGGAACAGGGTGCCGAGAATGAAAAGCTGACCTGCGCCCCGACTAGTCTGCCCAAGGTGAGCCCTTCTACTCCCTACGACATCATCTTCCTGGACGCCGATAAGCCCGGCTATTCGAACTACCTGTCTATTATTCTGGCCAATTCCCAGCCCGGAAGCAAGAACCGCCTCCTCCGACCGGGGGGCTTGATCATTGCGGACAATGTTCTGCGCAGGGGCCACGTCGCCGACTCGTCTAAGACGGATCGTGAAGTGGAGGACGCGGGCTTGTGGAATTTGCACATTGAGGCTGTGAGGAAGTTCAACGATCAGGTTGTCGGTGAGAAGAGACTAGAGTCGTTTTTGACACCGTTGTGGGATGGGTTGAGCATGATTAGACTCGTCGACTAGAATTGAGACCTAGGGGACTGGTGAGTGCTAGCTACTGTCATTGCAACACGGTTCTGGTGGTTTGCGTGGATATAGGCAGGTATAAATATATATTTGCGTTACGGGATACTGTGCATAGAAATAGCAAGGGATATCATATCATGTCTCGACGCACGCTTGCTGCGGTAGTAGACAACATGAGCATATTTTACGACAACGCCGCCGCCGCCGCCAAAAAAGCTACATTGTTGTCATAGCCCCCAGGAATGACGTTGCGCTTCCGCCACATTACCACAACTCTCATCTCATAATTTCACCGTAGATTAATGGAAGCTCGATCCAAACTTCGTCATTATTAGCACTCGACAGTGACCAGCTTTGCGCCGGCCCTTTCTATTCGAGGCACGCGCCGTGTTTACCAGAAGCGACGCTTGCGGCCACTGGCAGGGGTAGTAGTGGTCTCATTCCAGTTCTCCTTCTGGCGCTCCGAGCTCTTCTTCTTGCGAGCACAGCAGCAGGTGACAAAAACGATGGCGGCACCAAAGAGGGTGAAGATGGCGGAGGCGAGAATGAGCCAGATACCGGAACCCCAGCTGGCCGTACTGACGCCGTTCTGGTTGACGTCGTGCTTGATGATGCTGAAGGTGACAAAGTCACAGACCATGGCTACCAAGGTGACGACAAACGTAATCAGCGACACGAGGGAGGCCAGGAAGGAGCCGACGGTGCCGGTGAAGATGCAGAGTAGGCAGGCGATGAAGCACAAGCCCGTTGCGACAGGGTGCAGAACCATAACTCGCGTGAGACCCTTGGCGGTGGTGGCAGAGGCATCGCCAAAGTCGGTGCCGTCAAGGCGGTTCATCAGATTGGCAGGGTCATAGCCAATCCTGGAGTGGGTGCATTCATCGGAATCGCTGTCCGGGCCAAGAGTCAGCAAGCAGTGCCCCCGAGCTTTGCCTCAGGTGGACGAATGGACGCAGACTCACTCTATGCCTCGAAGGCAGTAACCAAAGGTGCCAAATGTGACCTGGTCAGCCCCAGCACGGTTTCTCCCGAGGTCGACCTTCATTATCGAGAGGTTGTTGATGACAGGGGCTGTGATGTCGACGACGATGAGAAGCACAAACGACACGAAGAGCAGAAACGTGCCGATGTGGTGAATGAACTTGCCGACGCCCATCTTGAAGTCGATTTCGCGCCTGTGAGAGGTACTATGTGTGGTTTTGCTTGGGGTGTTCTTCCTGGAGACGACCGACGGTGGAAAGGTATGGCCCAAACCAAGCTTCGTGTCAGCCAGGCTGGGGAACTAACAGGCATATATGTAAATCAACAATGCTTCATAAGACACGGGCGGTCGGATGCTCCATCTTCTGGGCGCCTTCAAGCCCAACCCTTGACCTCTTCCAGACTCTGCGACGTCATCCCGGCATACAACAGCAGCTGACGACCCTTGCACGTCTTGGGTCTGAGTGCAGTCGCACCGAGCCTGGCACGGAGTACTACTAGGAGGTGATGCAGAGATGGAGCCAGTCAGCCAGTGCTAGTGTTCCTGGGTCTTGTCTTGGAAAGAAGGCATTGCGACTCTTTGGGAGCCGGGGGTGACGTAGCAATCGAAAGGTAATTCGCCATGGAAGTCGGACTGAAGCCGGCGGTGGGTCTGTTTGCTGCCCTGATCTGGTTCGGAGCCACGCCACATCTATCTCGTGGAGGCTGGCAAGGGAGGGTTGCTTCATTGAGCCATACATGCGCCATGGACCAATTTCATTTGGCTAGTCGCTCAGCGCAGATGAGCTGAGGGACTGTGGCACAGCTCCCGCGAAACCATGCGGCCCATCGCACTGGTCGACGAGAGCCGATCAAGGGAAAAGTGGAAATCAAGGTTTTTCGTTTGATCTGTGCCAAGCCTACGCTGCGCTGCGCAAGGATAGACAAACATGGAAGCACGTCGCAGCGGCTTGTGCCTGTGGATCTTTGTTCTGAGGCCTCCCCCCTGGCCATACTAATTAAAAAGAGTCATGATGCTTTGATCGGTGACTCCAGAGTTGTTTGCCCACTTGTGCCATTATGCTGCACCAGGCCCTTTCCTGGTTGGACGCATAAAGTAACGTTATGTCGACGAAAAACGTGTCTTGTTGTGATCCGTCTTGTCACCACGAGAACTCAAGGTTTTTGTGAGTGGTCAAGCGGATGGTGGTTCTATGTATGTTGTATTCGGCCCAATCAGCCATGCGTGTTTCGAAATGGCCAGGTATGCAGCCACGGCGAGGTTTCCAATTTCCCAACGCGTCCAATTGCCGCGGCGCCAGTAACTGGTGTTGCGGGGCTGGCCTGGGAAAAGTTCGTTCTTCAGCGACAGACGACAATCAAACTAACTTTCGACCATTGCGAGGGAGTGGAAGGCAGTCCGAGTGGTCAATGGCGTACTTTGTAGCGTAGTGTAGCGTAGCATAGCATAACATAGCATAGCATCATGCCCATCCATGCACCGAGTCGCTGAGCATGCATATATGCCCACGCAGAACAGAACAGTGCCTGGGTTGGCTGCTCAGTCCTTCATTTTGCTGGGCATCCATCCCTTCAGTTGCAGTCGCTCTGCTTTGCGCTCTGATTCAGAGGCGTTATTGCTCCCCACATCGAACAGCCAGTGCGCCAGACCCTTCGAAGCCATGGTCTGAGGCAGTGATTGCTTCAGAGTCGCGGCCAGGAATGACTTGTCTTTGCGATAAGCTTCTGGCCAAGAGTGGTGGAGTGGCGACCCTGTCATGGCGAATTTGTGCATGTAATCTGGGGCTGGAAAGATTTCCAACGTGAACTGCCTCTGTTCTTGATGGCTGGACGCGGCGTGCGATGTGAAGACATGCTTCGTGACCAGGGGTGGTGGTTGGTCTGGTGCAGCTGTCATAGACGGCCGATTGCTTTTGCTTTTGAGGCTGTTGAGGCTTTCCGAGTCGTCCAAATCGGCGATACATACGTCGGTATTCATTTGGTTCACGGGGATGTGATAAGTCAGAGGGCTGTATTCGACTAGTTTGCTTGCTGTGGCGGCCTCCTTGGTTACCGATATGAAGTTTGCATGGTAGCCCTATACACGCATGTCGGGTTAGAACCTGGGGGAAAGGTGGATGGCGAACTGAAGGCAAGACTGGAGGTAGTGTGAGAACTTACCGGCGTCATCTTGAAGACTTGGACAGGTCCGTATTGCTCCAAGACTTGCAAAACCGAGCGCCGCTCTGCAAAGGTGACCGGCGTGGGAGAGACGAGGACTCGGATGGACCGCTCGGGGATGGAGCGCCGCCGCACAATATTGATAGCTGATGACATTGTAACGGCAGGATTTGTTGAAGGGGTCCGAGGTGGTATTTCCCGAGCTGTTGAGTGAGAGCTTCGACTTGAGCAGTTGAGCAGTTGAGCAGTTGACATCCAGCTTGAGCCTAGCCCGGCTCCCTGGGTGGGTCTCGGCTGCTGACTGGCAGAAGCTAGCAGTCGAAGTGGAGACATCGAGAAGATGGAAGCACCACAGGGCTGTCAAGTGCATTCATACACCACGAGCTGTACTCCGTACTGTACATGACTAGGTACATACGTACTACCGGACATGACTACATCGTATCGTCGACCACCACAACGCGACGCCAGATAGCTACACCTCACCAACGTCTTTTCCAATCAACATTGTTTCATCATCGTTTCCACACCATCCCAAGTCTGATTCGACACAAGCTCCCACAAGCTGATGCGAACCCTTCCCGCCATCCTACGACCTGAGGTGCGGCCGGGAAGGTGAGCGCGGTGCCTCGTGTCCTGCTGCTCGACCGTTGCGCCGCGATTCCATACGCAAGAAGCCTGCACGAGACATAGCATTCTGTCGAGATGGCTACTCCAACGCCTATGAAGCATGCGCCCTCGCAGCAGGGTCGCACTCCGTCCCAGCTCGCGGCCGCGACTCCTCCGGTTTCGACGCCATTCTCCAACACGGCTCGAGCTGCCTTTTCTCCTCGAGGCCCGGGATCGTCTCCCCAGCAGGTCAAGAAATCCCCTGCTACCTCAACCCTCATGGGCCACACGGGCATGGGAGCTTTCAACTTTGATAGTCCTTCGACTGCCGCTGCCATGGGCGCACTAGGAATGGGCGGCGGCTTCGACATTGGGCTGGATAACGTGGGTGTCGGCGGATTAGACGCAATTGGGGCTGCGCTTGCCAATGAAGATGACAAGATGAAGCGCCTCGATACAATATTGACGTTGTTGAGTGTTAGTGTGTCCCACCCGTCACACTGGATTTGCGCCGAAACTAATGCATTTTGGTAGGCCAAGAAAGGACTCGTGAGCGAAGCTAGTCTCGAACGTCTCGCGCAGCGCATTGGCCTAGAATTACTATCCGAAGAGCAAAGGACTCCCGACGGGCGCAAGACTAGAACATTGGCTATTGCTGGATCAGCTATTGCGCTTGATATTGTGCTTGACAACAATGTTGTTCAGAGCGTTTCCCTGGCCTACCACGGATCTGCCTCGTCTGTATCAAAACACATGGATGCTGCAGGCCGAATATTACTCAAAGACCTGAAACTGCTCCCAGGGCAAAGCCCATTGACGAAAACTCTGGAGAACTTTGCTTCCAACTTCGAACGTCTGGCTAGCTTGGACAAGCTGAGCATTGTGCCAGGACTCGACTGCCACGAAGCCTTGGCTGGCATTTATGTTAGCCTCGAGAGATTATACCAGTGGGATCTGTCAAATTTGCGAGAGGAGCAAGATATGAAGGCAAAATCAGATAAGCATCTCTCGAATATGGTAATGTGTTCCAGGCATGGACGGCCCGTGATGCACGACCGAGATACAGTTGGACTCGCCATACAATATTGGAGGGAGCTTCGGTTTATGCCACCGGTCGCCGATGGCACGTATACGTACAACTACGAAAGCGGCAAAGTTTGGTCCCTTCTTCTCGGTTGTGCTCCGCTGGATGGCATGGGCGTCCCACCTGTGAGAGTCTCGGAGAACTGGATTTCGAAAGAGATTACCAAGCAGGATGCGATGATTGATCCTACAAAGACCATTCTGGACTGGCAGGAGCCTGATAATATCTCACTACCCCAGTCTGAAGATAACAAGGATGCCGGAATGGACCTCTTGCAGGCTGATCTTTCCACCACAAGAGTGCCCAGAGTCATGTTCACCGTCACGTTCGACCCGCCGGTTGTTCTGCCACAGAACGACTGGGCACGCCTTTACATGTATGCCAACGTCAATCCCCCCAACATCGTCAATGAACTGAGCCAGCGTGGCCATCCCCCGGCGCCACCGACTTTTGACAGCCTGCTCTTCCCCTTCCCGTACGGGATGAAAGTCGACCCCAGTGAATCCCGAGCCATAAGACGACAGCGACTAGTCCGCGTTTTGTTGAGCAATCGAATCGAGTCTGTCGTAAATCACAACAATACTCTCTATATTTACAAGCCCATCTATTCACAAACCGTTTCTGAGATGCCCTTCTCCCACCCCCGCCAATTACTCGACATGCTGCCGCTCTTGCGACAGTACGCATTTGTGTCGACCCTGCTCGAAAACAGCTTCGGTTCCAAGACGAAGCCTGCTGAAATCCCTACCCAGGCGCAGCCAACAGGTATCAAGACCAAAAAGGATCGTTTGGCAGAGTACATGGATGGGCTGGAACCAGACGCATTCGGTGTGGACCATGCGGCCGATACAGACCTAGATGTCGTTCTCTGGGTTCATCCGGCGCCCCATATGCAGGTTGTTTTCCCAATGGGCAATTCCACCGCGAACATCTCCCTCAAGATCTTGGAAGGCGGAACTGTGGAAATTGTGGATGAGAATATTCTGGACTGCATCGACGACAACGGAGAGGTCAATCCCAGGAGGAAAGAATTCACGAGACAAAAGCTGGGCAGGGTATTGGAACTTATGGAGGATTTGTGCTTGTGGTCCGAATGGATACGGTTGAGGCTAGGGGCGGCCTGACGAAGAGGAGACGACTTGATGATACCCTGGTGTAGAATAGTGCCAACTCACGGCATCAATACACGATACCAATAGCACCCTTGTGAGTATGGGCGGGGGGTAATTCCCCAACATCTGTGTTGTGCCGGTGGCATCATGCTGCTGCTACTGGCTCGATAGCAAGGTCCAACTTGATTGCCAAGACAGTAGAATACGAAGGGGACGAACGTTCTTCCGGAACCACTGCACCTAAAATTAAAATACTCGGTTCCAATGGGTGATTAACAAAGTATGAGTTTACATGTCTAGCTGAGCAAATACGGCCTCGGACCCCAACTACATGGTGGGATTTTGTACAAACACGTCCCACTATTAAAACGACATGCTATAACATCAGTCTATGATCGCACGTTGCCGCGTTTCAGACAAATGAGTGTGTGTCATGTTTTGTTATTTTTTTTCTTCTAAGAAATTGTATTTCGTTCGTCTAAACCGCCCTACTTCTCACACGTACAAAAAAGAGCAAACCAATAGCCAGTGAATCGTAAAACCCTGTAAATAAAAGGAGATAATATATAAGTAGAATTACACCAGAATACCAGAATCAGATCTCCCCCATGCCATGCCAGTTGAGCCGACAACTGCAAAGTACGAAATCACAAGCCCATCGAAGCTGCAGGCGTCCCCGTTTAAAAATTTACAGCATCATAGCGGCGACAGCACCGAGGACAACGAGGGCACTCAGGCTCTGCTTGGCAGCACCGCTGACAACAGTCGGAGGGCAGTTGGGACCGGTGCAGCCCCCGTTGCCGGTATTGGGTGCTGGGCTGCTGGGCTGCGCGCCGCACGAGGGCCCGACACAGACCTGGGAGCCGCTGGGTCCGGGTTGGGGTTGGGCGATGCTGGTACCGTTGGTGGTGCTGTTGTTGTTGTTTCCGCCGCTGGGCTTGGCTGGCTGAGGAACGGAAACAATTGTCTGGGTGTTGTGGATGGTGGTCTTGGAAGGGTGGAAAGGGGGCGGAGCGGTGAATCCGCCCTTTGGACCAGTTGCTTCAGTGGGATGTGTCTCTTTGCCCGGATAGTATGTGGTGGGAACGACTTCGGTGGTAACCTTACCGACGGGGCAGTTAGTGACACCAGGAGCGCAGCTGGTGATGGTGTAAGTCTTGGTCACCTTGGTGGTGATTGTGATCTTGTCAGGGCCCTTGCCGCCGTTGCCATTGTTACCACCGTTTTGACCGCCATTGCCATTATTACCATTGCTGCCGTTGTTGCCACTATTGCCATTATTACCACCATTGCCATTATTGCCGCTGTTACCACCGTTGCCATTATTACCACCATTGCCATTGTTGCCATTATTGCCGCTGTTGCCACCGTTACCGTTGTTACCGCCATTGGAGCCAGTTGGTACTGCCGTCTCGCCAGGGCAGTATGTGGTAGTGAAGACTTCGGTAGTGACCTTACCAACGGGGCAGTTGGTGATAGTAGGAGCGCAGCTGGTGATGGTATAAGTCTTGGTCACCTTGGTAGTGATAGTAGTCTTATCAAGGCCGTTACCACCGTTGGGGTTATTGCCGCCGTTACCACCGTTGGGGTTGTTACCGCCATTAGAGCCAGTTGGTACCGCCGTCTCCTCGCCGGGGCAGTACGTGGTAGTGAAGACTTCGGTAGTGACCTTACCAACGGGGCAGTTGGTAATAGTGGGAGCGCAGCTGGTAATGGTATAAGTCTTGGTCACCTTAGTAGTGATGGTAGTCTTTTCAGGGCCGTTACCGCCGTTACCACCGTTGGCGGAAGTCTTGGTGGGCTTGGGGGCGGGAGTCTTGGTCTCGACAGCAGAGACGGGGCAGATGGTAATGTACAGAGGGAGAGTCACAGTGGTGACCTTGCCAACGGAGCAACTGGTGACGGTTGGTTGGCAGCTGGTGATGGTACGAGTAGAGGTGGTATACACAGTCGAGGTGGTCATTTCAACGGAAGAGGCAATTGTGGAGTTGGGCCATCTCGTTGACAAGCTGGGCACCGAGGTTGAGAAGGTGACGGGAACCTGGGTAGAAACGGTCGGAACAGTAGAGTCGGAGGCTTTGGAGGCAATGCTGACGCTCACAGAGCCAGCGCTCTTGGACACTGTGCTCAAGGTTGAGTTGGATGATTTCCAGGTCGAGGTGTTCTTGACAGACTTGGACGTGGACGAGGCCTTTGTGCTTGGCGTGGCAGAGGCTGTGGAAATCTCAGACTTGGACGTGGACGAGGCCTTTGTGCTTGGTGTGGCAGAGGCCGTGGAAATCTCAGACTTGGATGTGGAAGACGACGCCATGGTGGTGGCAGTAGTGGAGGTGGCAGTAGTCTTGGGGGCGTCCTGGTTGAAGATGCGAATATCCTGAACCTGGAAGTAAACATCTTTAAAGGCATCAGGGTTCTGGCCAACGTAGTCTCGGCAGCTGTCGCCATGCGTGTTCTTGCAGGTGCCCTCCCATGCTGAAAATTCAACGGGGTTGCCGCACATAGCAATGTTCAAGACAATTCGCTGGGGCTTGAAGATCTTGTCGATATTGCAAAGATCTTTCCTCAGGTGCATGGTCGGCGCACCCCAAGTGGACGTATCGGGAGAGCTAGAGCCAATGTTCGAGGGAACCTGGTTTGGGAACCACGAGTAGATCTTGATGTGGTCGCTGGTCCACTCCATGGCATCTAGTTTCACACAAGAGTCAGCCAAGTTCCATCTCACCCAGCAAGTCATAAGCTTTGCATGTCGACTTACACACGCCACCACTACCACCCGAAGGACCATTATCCTTAACGACGCAGCCCTGGTTAAGCCACTGGGTATTGTAGTCTGTGTAGTAGTTGTCACAGTTGGGGGTGATGAGGTCGCCGGATTGGTCTGCGCTGTCAATCCTGCAACTGCCATAGGAGGCTGCGTTAGCCATGTGAAAGGCGGGATTGTTGACGCCCCGGAGGTTCCAATTCTCGATGATATCGATCTCGCCATCCTGCGGCCAGGTATCACCGACGGTCCAACTAATACATTTGTCAGTCAGTGTGAAAAGCACGATATGAAGCGAGAATACGACTTACAAGGCAGGCCAGGTGCCACACGCGCTCTGAGGCAGGTGAGTGAATCGGGCAATCATAAGGCCCTGGTTGAGTCTCGCCTTGGACTCCAGTCTCACACTGTCACGACCACGCCTTCTTTCGGCTGTTGTAAATGATGACTTGCTATCAACCCTAAGGACGACCTCTTTATCCTGAACCGCGGCAAGTCCGGCATTGATGGCTTCCGTGCGACCCAGGTAGTTGACATATCCACTGTTGGGGTCGTCAATGGTCATAAAATCGAACTTGTCAAAGAAGTTGGTCGAGTTGTAGGTGTCTTCGAGATACCACTGGACAGCGGCACCGTTGCCGGCCAAGGCCAGAGCCGCAGCACCCAAGGAAAGGAGTGATGGAGCCATTATAGTTTTTTTTTTTTTTGGTTTAGATTTGCAATTAACGAATGTGAAGGGCGAAACAATGAGTAACGAATGACTACGACGTACGATACGTCAGAGGATGAGCCGGGTGCTCTTAAATGCCAACGTGAGGCAAAGGACTAAGGATGCCTCTGCTACAAGAGAAACGACCAAGGAGAAAACCACAACCCAACCAACGCTGGGTGGACAGCTGCTTTTGAACCATCTCGTCGGCGTTGGACCGAAGGGGTTGGGGGTCTACTTCGCGGTCCACGAGATACGATGGCATCCCACGCGGCACATTCCTTATTGGTACTGGGCTGGGTATAAATTACACAAATAGTACCCCATACATAATACAGAAGATATGGAATCGTCAACAAGGGCTGTTGGTTGACGGAGGCAGAAAACTGCTGCGTATGGCGGTGGGCTGGCCGAGGAACTCCACAGCACCGTCCAGCACCTGGGAATGTATTACTGGTTCCCGTGATGGAAGTCAATTTGCATGGCACGGGTATAGCCTACAGCATGTTAGCTCGCGTATAGACTGACCAGGCATTGTCTGTATGGACAGCATCTCGTAAGCTTGCAAAGTGTCTGAGTGACGGAGAGGGGAGGCAAGGAACTGTACAATACGAACATTGAAAGACTCCATTCTTCACGCACAGATCAGCATCGAAGAGCTTGATACATTTGTACTCGGTAAGACTGAATCAAACATAAATAAGCTTATTGAAGTGGAGGGATTGGGCCGTCAGCTCAGCAAGTGTCTTGACGGTCTCCCTCCCTCCAGAGTGTCGGCGCGGCAGAGGTCGACCCCGTTGTCAACAATTTGGCCGCGAAGGAATCTGAATCTGGGTACCTCGGCCATGGCGAACGGGTCCATGGAGCCAAAAATGGGGTCTCCAGCCGCAGTCTATGGAGCTGCCCTTGAGTAGTAACTAGGGGAAGCCTCGTTAATGTAGTCGCTGCACATGGCGGTTGTCCATGTATGGCTTTCGGCCAGGCTCGATCAGTCACCGCTAATGCAGGAACGTGGAACTAGATGGGACGACGTTTGAATTTCGAATGCGATATCCTTGGCCGAGACGAAGCCGCCCTTCATTGACGTTTACCACGATGTGGTGCACAACTAGGTATAATTATAGCACATTGCGTATGGAGTTTTCGAACGGGTCCTCGATATGTTTTTGATGGAGCTGTGGCCGCGTCACCCCGGTATGGCCTGGGCGCCGGGCGTGATTCATCGTGAGAGTCTTGGGGTAAATTCGAGAGCTTTTCATGGAACTGAATACCAGGGCGAAGCCAGGTTGCGATGATTCGATGGTGACTTGACGTTGGCAAGATAAATCCGTTTGGCCAGACCCATGGGACCAGGATGCTGACAGGTGGTGCAGACGAGCGGACGCCCGTTTCCGTAAAGAGCCAAGCGCCATGTTCCCGCGGCTTGATTCGATGGCCAGTGTCGTTCTGAGCCCCCCCGCCTGCCGCGAGTAATTGTTTCGATGTCCTGTTCTCCGTTCTCCGCACCAAAATCTGGTCGCTGACGGGTACGATTTCCCCCTTTCCCTGTTTGTCGGTCGACCTTTTGGAATACTACCTACCTACTTAGAATGAACGACGATCCGGCCCAACCAGCCGACACTCGTTGGCCCTTCTCTTGAGTTGTGGCTCGGCTTCCTTTTTTCTGCTCTGTCCTGCGCCATGCAATGTTGGTTGCCCGAGGCCGGTATGTGGCGAGCGCTGCCACTCTCTGCTCCTCCCCATCGCTGACTACCAGACGGAGCATGCGGTACAAGAATGCAATTCCGGCTTCTGCGTACTAAAGTATGCAGTCGACAACTAAGCTGGCGACGTCTCCACTTGAGCCCAGGGAGGCGATGGAGTAGTGTTGCTAATAAGCATCAGCAGGCATTCATTTTCGAGCATGGCAGTTGACCGCCTTGCTAAATCAGGAATTTGCTGAGCACCAACCCATGGTGAATTAATTGCTCGGGACCCAGTCAATTCTCACCCGATGTACTCCATACGAAGTACCAAAAACCAAAAAGGACATGAGGAAGCACCACCTTCCAGCCATCGTCGCCAGTATCACCAGGATCTCATTCCCACATCCTGTCCAGCATGCCAGAGTGGACCGACTGTGCTATTATTCGAGCCGGTTGCCTCTTTCTCTACCCGTTCGTGTTCTAATTGCAGCGATTGTAGAGATGCCACTTGCTCCTAGGATCCGCCATTTCCAACCTGGCCATGGTTTTTTTTACTCGTATTAGATGTGTATGTGTGTACATGTTATGTATGATGGCTAGGCAAACATAAAACCCCCCTTTGGCCTCTGGCATAGAACTTTTTCGAACTATGGAACAGCCGATGCGTCCATCATCTCTGCGCCTGCTCCGCATACATACAATGCTTCGACATGCCTCATTAATACTCTGTATCCTATTTGTAGCAAGACCCTCGCCCCAAAATACGGTGGCCAGTGCTGTACCCGTATGCAATTTCGAGATGTGACCAAAGCACCGGCTCGGCGAGTTCCGTTACTGGCTAGACTTGCGTATTCAACCCGGACCAAGCAGATTCTGGTGAAATCAAACTCCTCGGACACAATTCATTCTATGTATATGCCGTCACACAAAATGTGCATTCGTCCGGTTATGCCCGTGTCTAGCCGTCGAGGTGTCCCATCTTGGAAGTTGTCATTGATGCAATAACCGTCTGTTGTCTCTAGCTGCTTTCGTCGTCACGCCTCATCGGACAAAGTTCCCAAGAGCAATGGCAGCCATCTGCTCTGGCTTCCCATCAACCTTGACCTTCTCAACGCGTATCCAAGAGTCGCCAGGGATGCCAATCAAACACGAGCCATCCTGTTGAAGCACCACCTTCATCTCATGCCGCCCCGCCCTCTTCTCATCTGCACCCTCATGCTCGCATACCAACCTGCCCTCCCCGCCTTGCCGCAACACGTCTCCCTGTGCCACTGGCCCAGCATCCAAGAAAATCACTCTCTTTCTGACACCCCTATCACTGACCGCATGTGTCCACACTGACCCCAGCACCCTAACCCTTCTAGCAAACTGCTCTGCCGTCCACGCAGACCAGTGTATCTGTCCGTCTGCCTTTGTAATCTTTGGTGCGTGGACGAGTTGCTTGCCTTGCAGCGCGGCCGCTTTCCAGCCCACGTCCTCCCGGGGCGCAACATGAACACCGTCGCGCAATCCCTGGATCAGCATCTCTGCGCCTTCGACCGCCACAGCAGACAGGACCTCTTGGAACGAGGCGTCCGGCGCGATGGGCATGCCCGGCGCGGGGCTCTGCGCAAGAATAGTCCCGTGGTCAAAGGCCCTGTCATCCAGAGTCTGTAGCGATACCCCCATGTGCGTGTCTCCCCTGAGGAGGGCGTGGTGAATTGGCGCCGGGCCGCGGAGGCTGGGGGCTTCTCATTAGTAGTGCTTCGCTTGGGTACTGCAGGGTGAGCTATCCAACATACTCGGGCAATAAGGATGGGTGGACATTCAGACCTCCGTATTTGGCGGATGCCAGGATCCGAGGGGGGACGAAGAGCCCGAAGGACACGACAATGACTAGATTTGTGCCGTCGGGGAGCTTGTCCATGTTAATGTTTTTTTTTTCAGCCAGTCAGGCCGGTGGACTTACATCCCATTTCCGAAACGTCTCCCGCTGGTGGATTGGGAGGTTGAGTTGTTCTGCGAGTATTTTGCAGGGCACTACGATATCAGCACGCGGTCTTGTAGAGGCATCATGATGCAGCACCGCCTCTGTTCGCAGACAATACTTGGCTGCATGGACTCTTACTGCCGGGGGCTTAAAAAACAAACAGGAGTGCAGTAGAAGAGCCAGGAACTTCGAAGCCCAGATAATAAGACAGAGAGAGAAAAACGACGGGGGAGCAGAATCCTCACCTTCACGAACCGTCCTGAGGCCCCTTCCTGTCCTCCTGCCCGGCAATACCATCACATCCAGTGCCTCTACCAACGCCCTGTTCTTCACATGTTCGCGGTGCAGGGCCCTCAGGGACTCGCAGCTGAATGCGTCCGAGCCACAGAACAATATCCTCAAGGGATCCGAGGCCTTGCGCGAGCTGTGTCGCCGTTGAAAAGGGGCGTATGGCGGCGGGAGGCGAAGGCGAGCTTGGGCCCTATTTATGAGGCGGAACATGGCGGACGGATCATATTTTCTATTTCTACCTGTATGTTTGGCGAAGAAGTGGATCCATCGTCTGGCGGGTATGAGGGTGCCAGTTGGTGATGACTGTGCGTGGTGAACTTGGGAGTCGTGTGGTTGATGTTCGCGTTTGGCGAGAAAGCACGGTTATGTGCATAATCGGACCCCTGACGAACGCGGATGGGGCGTGAATTCGCCAGTCCATCCTGCATTTGACGTACATGTTCCTATCTTATTGACGAGTCCGATGCTGTATGCTAGGAAGTAAAACCAATTTGCACTATACCTGCCGTCTTTTTTCTTTTGATTTTTTCTTATTTGATTTTCTTTTCCTTTGTTTGTTCGTCCTTCGGGCTGGCCATCCAAAGGTCCGCCAGAGCAAGAAACAGTTGACTGGGGCCTCTCCATACTAGCATGTGACCGTACAGACAACCCTATGTACGGAAAATACGACAGCCAGAGAAATGAAATCCACATGTCGCGCCTGGAGAGCTTTTTTTTTTCCTTCATTTTTTATTATTATTGTTTCTATTTTGATTTTGTTCCCCAACTTCACAGTAGCATTGAGCAGGGTAGGTCCCTGTAGTGGCGGGCTTCTTGCAGTGACATCCCAGCGTGCTTTCCTATGCTCTCGAACGTACATATGTAAGATGGTTTCAAATGACCTGCGCCGTGTTTCTTGGTCGAAACTACTGGAAAAAGATTCCTACACTGGGAATATATCTTAATTTTAAAGACTACCCTAGATAGCATCAGTATTGTGGTTATGAGTATCGCAGTCACCACGTCGAACCTGCCGCTGCAAGTAGGCCCAGAAGCTCGAAACCAGCCGACAGGAAACATTTATTTTTCTTTTCAAATCGCAATTGCTTCGGAATGATGTTCTATATCCTTTACAGCGAGGAACAATCCGCTCCTGGAGAGAGGTTCTATAAAAGGGACTTGTAGTCTTGACCAAAGGCTAATGTTTCCAAGCCCCCGTTGCACCAAGGGTGATGATACACATAAGAGGTGATCAACGGTTCCTAATGCCGGTCTATTTCTTTTCCAAAATCGGCAGGGTAACACGATAGCCTTGGACTCTTGTCAATGAAGCTTTAAACAGCCCGCCATCAGCGTCTTTGTGTCCCTAGGATAACCCAGATGGCCTCGTTCATCCTTCTGCAGGCATAGTCTCAAACCGCTCGTCCATCACAACTGGCAGAATCGAGACAAGCAACTGGCGCCTATGATGAAGTCAAGTAATTTGCAAACGTAGCCGACATGCCATGTTGAAGGTTCTTTAGCCGGTTCGTCAATTTTCGCCCAGGACTTTCCGTCAACTTCAAATTGGACAGAAGCGGAGAGGCACAAATAAAGCTACGGATAGACTCCACATTACTGGCATCTCTCCTCGACTCGTCGTCTGTATTTTCCTGTCCGATATTAATTCAAGCAGGCCAACAATTATGCCACTCCACGTACCGTGATTTCCAGTAAACGGGAAGCAAGTTGAACTCACGGGTTTGAAAGAAGCTCTTTCCAGCTCAGAGGCCAAAGAGAAGCATGTATTTGACCATCTGACGGAAGAAAATGCCATCTAGATTCCTCTCGACGTATGCATATTCTTTGGGAAGAGCCATGCCCCCAGCCACCTTGGTTTCGTCTTGAACATGATGTCTTTCTTCTCCAAGACTCCAGCACAAAAACAGCGTATTTGAAAAGAAGAATCAGGAAGCCCGCCATGAAAACAATAGTCCGCCCAGTATCCAGTACAGCAGCGCCCACAACGCCAATATCCCACCACCATCATCACCCGTCAACGCTCCAATTGCAGCCCACTGTCCAGCACTCCCCGACCAAATCAACCTCCCAGACCGGTTGCTCAATGACGACCACGCTCCCCACGTTCACGGCCGCCCTCCTACCCAAGCCCGTCAACCGGCCCTCCCCAGCAAGTATGTACGCCTTCAAATCACCAGATCCCCCCGATTTCCCCCTAGCCAGATACATGTGCTCGCCGGGACTGATCTCCTCCACCGTCAGCCTCAGCACAGAGTCTTCGTCCCGCGTCCCCTCCCACCCCTTCACTTCAGACAGCCACCCCTGCAACTGGGCAGCGTGTCCGCCGGGCAGATATTTCGCGCCGCGATGTTGGGGCGAGAACGCCCCGGGGAGGACCGGAAGCGACGTCTCATTATCAGTAGGTTTGAAGCGTGGCGCCGGTTGGAAGACGGGCTGGTGTCGACGGCTCGGCCCCCCGAGCTCCCCGGGAGACTCTGACCCGTTGCCCTCTGCTGGGGATGCGTGTCCCCGCGCAGGTGTGGCTGCCTGCTCCGGAGTACCGAGGGAGCTCGACGGCGCGGGGGGCGAGATAGATACCCTTCGCCTCTTGGCCTCCCTCCCATCCGGCGACAGGGGCGACGACTCGGTACCGGGAACACCCTCGACATCCTCTCCTGAAAAGTACTGGCTTTGAGAAAGGCGCTCCGTATCCTGCGACATCAAGTCGTCGGACTTCATCTCAATGGTATCCTGTAGCCGGCTTCCCTTGGGCTCCGCCTCGACCCGTGGCGACGAGTCACACGACTCGTCGCCATCTTCATCGACATCCTCGAGGTCATGCGCCCGACGCTGCGCATGCTGCGGTACAGAGGACGAGCCGAAGCGCGGCGTTGACTGGAACTGCTGCGATGCCTGCGGCGCCGGGGTTTCTGAGGCAGATGGCCGTTTGGCCAGCAGGAACCGCCGCGGAGTAGGTGTCTTGGCGAGTTAACAACGAGTCGTTCTTTCTGGACACTGGCATCTTGGAAGACGAGGTTGGATCTGAAAGGGCGGGCTTACCGTGGGTGGCGGGTTCATGCTCTGTAGTTCACGACATGGTGCTTCAAATGCTGTCCGGTTTGGTGGTGCGTGAGAGCAAAGTGCCCGACTTGGTGAATGGTCCATTAATGCCGCGACTAGACCAGGCGTCATTTTGCCTTGGCGCGGCACCATCTGGTGAGCGAACGGCGCCATGCCTGAATTTGCATATTTTGTCTGTTGCCTACAATTATTCATGACTTCTAGTCATGTTTTTTTTTTTTTTCCTTTCTCACTTCTGAGGCTTTCTACAGTCATCCATCACCTCCGGCAGCAAAGTAGCGGCAGAGGCTGCATTCACCAAACTAGTTCACAGGCACATTCCATGTTACATTTATTGTCATTGACCATGTCAGGCAGGCCTTTCTCCCTATATATACTAAATGCTCTGGACATGGGATTTCAGGCATTCGCTTCTCCCCAAGGCTGAAGGAAACAATGGAACAAGAAATATGCCAGTCTAGGCGCGTCGCAATGAAATATTGTGCCTAAGCGAGCGACGAGCGCTGCGGCCACATGATGATGCCGCGGTCCATATAAAACCGTAAAAAAAAAACCTCAATAAGACATGTAATGGACAAACGCCGATTTTGTGCATCTCATCGTCATGCAACACCTCCCTCATTTGTGGCCCAGAACCAAATCGAAGGGCTGCAAACCATCATAAGTACACTGCATCCTTCACCTGCAACCAGGGAAGACGTGGCACTTCATAAACACAGTGGAATAAAAAAACACCTTGGCAAAATGTAGTACCAGAAACACTGCCCTTCTCGAGTATCCCGTTTAGACGCGAGTGCTGCATGTAGAAAAATTTGAAATGAATTTGAAGAAAACGAATTGGGTATCCCAAATGGACAAAGTTGATTTCGCCATGAAAAAAGAAGAGGAATGAAAAGAATCAAATCAATCGCGAAAGATTAGGTATTGCGAGTTTTGGGACGATCACAAGTATGCTACAAGTCTCTTAGCCAATAGCCAATTCGAATTCAGACTTGTGGCCGGGCTTTGTGGGTTGCGTGTTTTTAATGGGGTGAAGCATAACCGACGGCAAGCAGGGGCGTCCATGTTTCTTCTCCCAGTCGATTCCGCCAATATTGGTGTCAACCCAGCCCATCCAGTTGTTGTAGAGTCGGTTCGGCGGCTCGGCACGGTAATACCAGGTGGTACCTTGGAAACGGCGCTCCCTCCCCCAGCCAAACGGTGATCCACGGCCGCCAGATTCGCCATCAGGTCCAGGGTTGAACCAGTTATTGAGGAAGCCTCCCTTCCAATCACGATCCATAAAGACTGGATGGGGAGCGAAGACAGTCTTCAAGCCGTGAAGCAATGCAACCGTCTGCGCAGTCATCTCAGATGCGACATGCTGACCACGCAAGTTCTCAACGTGCATGATGTCGAGGAGACGTTTTGAAATTCGGGACTGGGTGACGATGGTTGTGCGTCGAGGAAGGTCGGTAGACTTGTGGTTTTCGTCGCTGTAACCCCAAACATGGTTTGATATAATCCACTGGCTGTCAACAGGATCAAAAATAGGGCCAACACTAATGAAATCGGCTTCTTCACCAACACCCCATTCATAGTTATCCTCTTCATGAGAAGCCACTGGAGGTTTAGGACCGACAGGCTTGACGAACGGCAGGTCAGGAGGCCCCCAAACCGTCTTGTTGCCCCGCTTCTTTGCAACGTCTTCGCGGAAAGAGGTGTCATAGTCGCCGTGGTATTCGGGAATATAGTAGCGCTCGTTTCTCTCCCACAGATATTTCCGAGGCTGTTTCTTCGCAAACGCGGACAGTTTCTCGAGAAGGTCGTAGTGGTGACCGGTGTATCGGAAATCCATCTCCCAGTTCCAAATGTGATCGAATTGCGGGTGGTCCTGACTGAACTTTTGAACCGAAAGCCACTGAGCGCTGTGAACAGCTCGTGCATACTCGTCTGTCAACGCGGGATACACATCCCAGACCTGATGGTCGCTCCACAAGACTGTCATGCCATGGAATTCTGCAGGCACATTCTCCTTGAGGACAGTTTGGTACAGCTCGTCATCATCAAAAATGGGAAGACTTTGATTCTTGGAGTGGACTAGGAGGAAAACCTCATATTGTCCACCTGTCTTGAGACTGAGTTCGCTGACCAGGGCACGAATGACTTGTCTGTCGTTGTCGGTGTACTTCATTCCCGTGTATGATCGAAGCAGGAGAGCCGTTCGAGACTCCTTGGTGATCTGGCCCTGTTTCGCACCAATGAATCTCCCCTTGATTTTTGGCGCTTCTGTCTTGATGTACTCGGACCGGGTAGCCTGCTGATGATTCTCGGTGTAGTTGTTAAGATAGGGATTTTTCTTGCTCATAGTCATGTCGAATCGGTCGGCATTTTGCTTCAAACAGTGCTTCTGTAATTCACCCCAATTGACGTTATCCCAATCAATAGGTTTATACGATCCCCCGACCTTCTTCTTCATTTCCTGGAGCCCGTACTGGCCTAGGCGGGAATCACGTTCCCAGCACAAATTCGGGTCAATACCAAACAAGTCGTAGCCCCCAAACTTGGTCTGAGGCCATCTCGCTGGGCGACCGCGGAAAACAAGCAAGTCTTCAACAAATTCGCCGGTGGGACCCTTGCAGGGCACGTAAGGGGCATGACCATCTTTCTTCCATTCGTCGCCATTGTAGTCGGGATAAGGGTTAAATCGCACAGGCTGATCATCATTGAACTTGAATTTCACGTTCGGATCCTCACGAAGGCACTTGCTTTGTTCTTCGGTTCGATTGTCTTTTTGTATCAGCTGGTTGAGTGTGTTACCATAAACTAGGTTGGAGTTTGCGAGTCTGGGTGTATAAGATTAGCACCTTGACAAACAAAATTGGCAATCAAGGGACCGTCAAACACGACAGATGAAAACGTACTTTGCAGTGGTTTTGTAAGCGTAACGCCACATCTTTCGCAAGTCTTTCTCGTGCTGCAGTCTGGCAACATCACCGGCCTCTCTGGGCGTGCCGTCGGTTTCGTAGCCAGGCAGGACGTCGTCGTTGGTCTCCGGATCGTCCGGGTCGGACCAATAGGTCAGATCATCAATGTCGATTTCCCAACCCGCACGAGTACCAGTAGGTTCCTCGTGGTGATGGCCAGGGTCAGGCTTGAGTGCAACGTCTTCCGGCCTGGGGCTGGAGAGCGGTTTTTCGTCGTGTTGATTGTTTTTCGTGTCTTTTGCTGAGCCTTGCTTGTCCGTGTTTCCACCCTTAGTGTAAGGGACAATGTGCAACCTCGGCGACGGACCGCTAAAGACTAGAAAATAAAGCGATAGTGCCGCCATAAAGATGATGAAGACCGACCTCGGTCTTAGCCGAGACAACATGGTTCGTCGTCCTTGAGGGTTTAGCATCTTATCCATTGACCCCCTGCCAAGATATGGCATAGAGGACGAGATCTGACGTAAAACCCTCACCGGAAACGATCAGGAACTAATCGACTTGAGTTTCTCTGTATGGCGGAGATGGAGAAACAAGAACCAGGCTGAAAGTTGAAATTGGCCTGACCTTCGTTTTCGTTTGGATGTGGTGAGTTAAACAAGACGAGTGGCGACGGATGGGCTCGAATCCTAGGAGGCGAGGAAGCTTCTATACCTTGGTGGTGGACTGATAGAATGTCGACTTGGCGGGACAAAAAGCCAACGCAGGTTGCAAAGAGATATTCGACAGCCTGCTGGTCGTAATCCCGCGTTGGTCGGGGTTGGTGAAATAACAAACTCTTGCTTGACTGCAAAAGCTCGTGGTCTGCAAATGGAAAGTGCTCTCAACTGTGACAACAGCGAGGCTCAAAGCCCCAGGGCGGTGTCTTGGCTCAACCACGGGGCGTTTCAAATCCTGAAGTCGGGAGTTAGGAGAATTAATGGAGCATTATCTTGAGAGATCAGTTGAGACAAGTCGAGTCGAGTCCGTCATGCGCGCGCACGGAGTGAACTCGGAAATGGGGAACTGGGTACGGAATACCCGATTCGATTTGATAGTCCCGGCACCGCAAACGAGAGGGCCTCACGAGGGATGGGAGTAAAAGAACGGAAAGGGCCAGAGGCGAGTCGAAGCTGACGCGATGGGAGAAGCGAGAGGCGTCAACGCAAATGACGAAGAAAAAACAGACCGACAAAAAAAAGAGACGAGCTACAGCAGTGACGGGAGCAGCGAAAAGTGACCAGACCAGTTGGCCAGGCAAGCCAAGTCCGGTTGACTTTCAGGAGGGGGTGCGCACTCGGGCCGCTCAAGTGCCAGGTGTAGAGTCAACTGGTGCCACCAGCCGAAAGGGGGAGTGGCGAAAGGGGTGGGTGCATGTGGTGTCTTTAATGGTGCTTGGTGACGGCAGTGTCTGGTTTGACTGGCCGCCAACATGCATACATGACTGGAGCTTGTTTGAGGCTGCTCAAGACGAAGACGGGTTCAATGGCTTGGTTGTGGCTGTAGCAGATAAGATGATATACATGAGCTCGTATGATACTCCGTACATGAGGGTTATATAAATTTATACAAATGAATTAAGTGGGAGAAGGTGGGACCAGTGGTATTGGGTGAGCACCTGCACCGACCTAATAGTATCATGTCTTGCATCCTTGGCTTGGGGTTTACGAATACTACAATACGGAGTAGACGCCACCTCAATGCTGCCAGGTTAGGTGGCCATCAACTACTGGCGATCTAATGGTATGTATGTATGTATGTACGTACGTACGTACGTACGGAGTACTGTGTATATACAAATACCAGGGTGGAGCAGCGTCCGCAGCAGAGCCAAGAGCAACTCCGAACTTTAGAGGCTAACATGCATGGAACCAATTGACATGGATGCCGGACCTGGAGAATCTGTGATCTGGATCCACCAGCGTCAAATGCTACAAGCGGCGCTGGGGTGCTGGGAGATAAGGAACAGCGATGAAGCAGTTGTAAAGGGAAAAAATGAAGACGGCCTGGACGTGCATGGACCTAGCATAATAAGACCTCCTCTTGTCGTCATCTGCAGTTCAGCAGTCTGCGCGTCGTCACCCACCAGACTCGAGCGCTGCGTGCTGCCGCCACCGATTACAAAGCGCCAGGCGGATCATTGAAGTCTACGGAGTAGCACGCATGGACAGGACCTTCTCAAACACTCCGGTGGGCGTTGGTTCATGCTGCACAGAGCAATACAGAGCGATGATGAGCAAACAATTGAGTCATTTCCCTCAACTCCGTGTTGATACTCTGTTGATCTGTGTCCACCGGCTCGGAGTGTGCTACGCCCCTGGGCGGCGCCATGTTTGTTCCAGGGCGTACGCCGTACTGAGTGAAGAACAAGGCAAAGTGTTTCTGGCGCAGCCTTGACCAGCATTTGACAACTTGTTGATTACGGAGTATTCCCACCACCAATCTCCATCGCGTGGACAGCCAAGCTTGTCAGCAGTTGAAATTGTCAATCCAAGATACTGCCAGTACTACCTCGAATTTGGTGTGGGTCGCTGCTCCTGGCTGCACCACTTCTTTCCTGTCACCGGAGTCAGTCTGGTCTGGTACGGAGTTGTAGTACGTGTCTGGTAATCTGTCCGTACTTTAGGCTTTTCTATTCTGGTCTGGTCCAATAACCAGCGCAGCATAACATGCCTGTCGGGGGCGTTCAAAGGCCCTGCTGGCCAAGAATCGCCAACGACTTGGCAAGAACGCATCAATTGATTCTTGGTATCCACTACGTCATTTTGCGCGACCAGACTTGTTTTCCATTGGCCTTCCCTCGGGCTCAAAATTTTGCAACTTGCCGCCGGACGATTGCACAATGGCTTCAATGTTCCAGTTCTCTTGGGCCCAAGAGTCCAAGACTGCGTGCAACAGGGGCCTTTGTGGCGCGCAGAGCAGCGGGTTTTCCCCCAGGGGTGTGGGCAAGCAATTTAACTACCTAGGTATCTACCTGGGTAGGGAAATAGAGTCAAGACGGCGCTCTCTTGGCGGCACCTGTTGATTTAACCAGGAGGCTTGACAGATTTTGCGACATTTTCGACATTTGAGAGCGTCGGGGCAAATGGCATCACGTCAGGCCGCTGCAGCCGAAACCGGGCGAGAAGCCGACGTCGACATGTTGGAGTGAAGCAGCTGGCATCACCCTTGTACCACTCCCGCAACGGCCAACGGCCAACAATGAACGGTCAATCTTGATTCTTGACGGCCTCCCCCCCCCCCCCCCCCCTTAGACCCGGCGTGTGGTAATAGCAAAACATTGAAGGCATTGGGACGACCAGGGTCAGTCAAACCACCCGTGCTTTGTGGTCGTACTCGTTCTTGCTGCTGCTCGAGGTTACAGGTTACAGGCCTGGTGGGGCAGGCGGCGCAACAAGGTCAATCCATAGCCACAAGTTTGCAACAAACGCAGGAAGCATTGAGCACCTGCTCAGTCGCGGTAACAACAGGGAGAATCCCGGTGCCTGCCTGAGGCCATTCAGCCTCAGATCACCCAACTTGGCATCCTCCTACGTACGATTGTCTCTTCTTGAAGTCATTCGCCCCCCTTTCTTGCTCCGTAGATCGCCTGCTCCTGCTCCATACGCAATTGATTGGCGCTTTCCGCTTCCCCTTTCACAGATCTCCTGACGCTACGGGAATGCACAGTGCAAACAGATGGGTCAATCAATCCGTGGGTCGTGCGCGACCCATGGTCATGTTCCAACCCGCTCAAAGTCGCCGGGAAGAGGCGAGATCGACGTCGGCCACCGAGGTCTCATCCCTCAATCTGATGGTATCTGCCCATCACCCCCAAAACCTGCTGCTGACCAAATACACACATACATACAGTCAGCCCCCCGAATTGTTCTTCATGCGTGACCTGACAGGGTAGGGGGTAGTGTACTGTTTATAATTAATATACTATTTTATGCTATATGGTGTGGAGAGAAATTATAAGGATTATAAACAAAACTTAAATATATTAAAAAACAGTTCAGGTCACGAATCATTCAAGGGTTGGACTGACAGGCCACCAACGGCAAACATCGGTACGGGGGGGTTCCCTACAATGCAACACATTTGGACATTTGGCTGGTGCAGTTCTTCTATTTGAGCCATCGATCGCCCGTGTTGATCTATGCATCGACGATACCCGCCGCAAAAGGAAGGACAAAATTCACTACCCAGGTACCTACCTAACTTACCTACCTACTAGGTACTTACCTAAGTACCTAGGTAGGTATGTACATGTAGTTTGGCCACTGGTTCCCACGTGCTCCATGGGGTTTCTCTCAACAATATCGAATCCTTCAAGGCGTCAACGGTCGGCCTAGTAAACTCATTGAGTCTTGTTACGCCCTCTGTAGAAAACAAGCTTAGCTCCTGAGGATACTAATCAGTCTGAAACTATAATATGGATTTACGACGGGCGCAGACTCGCAATAAACCCACAGCGAACGAACAGACCCCACGTGCGCTCCATGCACATGGTGGTTTGCAACCGAGATGACGACTTAAGACAAAGCCACGGATTTGGGCTTCATCCGAATGTTCAACAACGTCACCCAAACAAAAAAAAGAATTGCTTGGAGGCGCGTTGCGTACGGCATTTAGCGTTGACGGTCCTCAATAAAAAGACCAGTACAATGACGGCGATGGCTAGTGACGGGACTGAATCGGCATCAGTTGTCAACGTCTTGGAGACCCGACACGAAGAATCGAACGCCACAACTGCTGGCGTAGCTATTATTGGCAACAACATATGTACATACGTAGCTTCGAGAATGCCCGCCATTCAACGCCACTCTGTCATTAAACATTATGCACATAGACAACAGCGGCCTCGGATAACCCCGCCAACAGCACCATCGTGACATTCTCCAAAAAGAAACCAATGATCAAGTCAACACCAATGAAAATCAATCTCACACCTCTCCTAGCTTGGCTCAAGGTAGAGAGAGTCCGACCAGTCTCAATTACTCGCCTCCTGGATCACACTCTACAGACGAAAGAAGTTGCATCAGAATAGTTGTCTTGCAAGACCTTGGTTCGCGCAGCCCTCCACAGATGGTCAGCACAAATGCCGACCAATAACTTTGTACAACCAACCGCTGTAAAGGTTCACGGCAGAGGTTCTGTCCCGTGACTGTGGCCATTTCCCTGTCCAGCTACAGCAAAATATGCCGAGATGCATGCATGCAGCCCTTTATGTAGACTTGTCATCGCCTGTCTACCAGACTCTCGTGCTGTACTACAGTGCCAAGTGTCTCGTCATACCAGTCATGATTTCACAAGAGGCCATCGCCAATCTGCCGCCCAATGAATATTGAAACTATCCGGGAGCAACAGCCATAGTACTGAGTATTTGTGGGCTGGGGAATAGTCACTTGCCAGTCTGACCTAC